AGCAACGTCCTCCACAACTAGACTGAAGAACAAAACGACAGCAACTTGTCTGTTCCCCTTCCCCAATTCCCCAGAGCTGTTCCCATCCCCCAATTCCCCAATAAAAATCTTTAAAAATAAAAAGGGTTGGCTTGGGATGTCAGCTCTGAGCAGCAGGGCCCGGGTTCAGATCCCACATGAGAGCCAGTGACGCTGCACCCTCTACAGCTAAGATGGTGAACAATAGCTCCACCTGGAGCTGGGCTGCCGTGAGTCGCCAGCGACGGCGTAGGCTGCAGTGGGGCTGGCCAGCAGCTGGCATGAGCTTTCGTGAGCTGCCATGAGCCGCTGTGAGTGGCCGTCTAATGGCCAGTGAGCAACTGCCTCATCCGGGAAGAGAGCAATGATAATACCAACATGGGCCAGTGAAGCGACGTCCTCCACAACTAGACTGAAGAACAAAAGGACAGCAACTTCCCCTGATTCTCCAACGCTGTTCCCCTCCCCCAATTCCTGAATAAAATCTTTAAAAAAAAAAAAGTGTTGAAATATCATCTTACAATAAGGGAAGTCAAAAGATACTATTTCATTAATCAATTTGATGGCTCAAGAAAGACAACATCTAGCCGTTGTACTATTGCAGTGCCTTGTTATGTCGTCATCAGAGGCAGAGTTGTCCCAAGAAGTTCACAAGTGGTGGGTCAAGAACTGAATTTTGAAAATTACTTACACATGAAAAATAAATTAGCACATGTATGCTATACTTCACTAGGAGTTGGGGCTGAAGAGTTTTTTTTAACTTATTGTTTTATTTAAATCAGTGAAACTTAATTGTCTCAGAGCTGTAATTGTATCTCTAATGTTTTATCTCTTAAACTGGGTGGAGTGTATACTGTTCTTTGTCTTATCATTTACTGTACTGTCTTGATTGCCTGGAATATTTCCTAATTTGAATGAATTAATTAACTGTGAAAACTCAGAGTGCATTCAAATATAATAAAGCACTCTCCTTCCTTTAAATTATGGTGACCTTTCTTGAGAAGCCTAGACATGGCTGCTATCTTGAGCTACCCACAATTGTACGGGACTCACAACGTATCTCAGCCTCAGCTAGTGGCGATTACCCCAACCGTAGCACCCAAATGGTTGTGGGGATTATGAATGATCTTGGTGCCTGTAAATTGTGATTCTTACACTCACTTTGATTGTCTTCTTATTTTACCCATAGAAAAGTTCTTAACAGGAAGGAGGAAGGGGTGATGAATCAAACTCAAAGACCACATCCACATCTAGAAGGCACAGGGAGAGCACTGCCCGGGGATCATTAGGAACCACATCACAGTGACAATGACCAAATCAGAAACAAACTGATGGTGCAAGTGCACTTTGTCATAGTCATAGTCATATCAATATGTTTGAATTCTGTTATAATTTTAAATAGTAAAATAAGATTAACTCACGTTTATTTTGCAACAGTACATACTTGTTTCTTTCCTAATATTATCTATGGTGTGAAGACGTGGGGAAAATAAAATTCATTAAAAGATAATTTTTAATTTAAATAAATCTTCATATTGATGTGGTACATATATACAATGGAATATTACTTGGCCATAAAGAAGAATGTAATCTTAACCATTTGCGACACCACAAATGAACTTAGAGGGCATTATGCTAAGTGAAATAAGTCAGACTGAGAAGGACAAATACCATATGATCTCACTTATATGTGGAATCTAAAAAACAAAAGAAACAAAACAGAAACAAACTCACAGATACAGAGAACAAATTGATGGTTGCCAGTTGGGAGGAAGATCAGGGGGCTGGGTAAAAAATGGTGAAGGGATGAAGAAGCAGAAATTCGTAGTTACAAAATAGTAATGGAGATGTACAGTACAGCATAGGGGATAGAGTCAACAATATTGTAATAACTATATATGGTATCAGGTGGGCACTAGACTTCTCGGGGGGATCACTTTGTAAGTTACATAAATGTCTAACCACTATGCTATACACCTAAAACTAATATAATATTGAATGACAATTGTAACTGAAAACAAAAAATTTTCAAATAAAGCCTCATTAAAACAAATCAAGTTGGGGGCCGGCCGAGTGGCGCGATGGTTAAGAACTCGCTTGGGATGCCAGAGGGCCCCGGTTCGGATCCCACATATGAGGGCCAGTGACACTGCCCCCCGCAGCTGAGATGCTGAACAACAGCTCAACCTGGAGATGGGCTGCCATGAGTCGCCGGCGACGGCGTGGGCTGCAGCCCCTGTGGCAGTGGATTGCCATGGGCTACCGTGTGTGGCCAGCAGCCAGCGTGAGCGGCCAGCAGCCAGCGTGAGCGGCCAGCAGCCGCAGTGAGCGGCCGTCCAGAAGCCGGCGACTGATCTGCCTCGCCAGAGAAGAGCGCAATGATGGTGCCAACTTGGGCCAGTGAAGCAACATCCTCCACAACTAGATTGAAGAACAAAACGACAGCAACTTGTCTGTTCCCCTTCCCCCAACTCCCCAGCACTGTTCCCATCCCTCCAATT